CTGCTGAAAGGATTTGCCTGGGGGAGGTCAGTGTCCAGCTGGTGGACTGCCTTGTGCTGCTTCTTCTGAACGTGTGTTGGTGGGACTCCAGCTGGGAAGGTGAGAGCAGGCTCTGTTGCGGTCACCACTGTGGCAGCACAGCATGGCCCAGCTCCGACTGCCCCTTGGAGTCTGGATGGTGGTGTCCAAGAAGCCAGCCTGGCCAGGATGAGGCTGTGCAGGAAGCAGCTGCTCTGTGGCAATCAACTCTCTCACCTCCTGTTTGTGGTTTTCTTACTGTTTTCTGGCTTTTCAGCTTGAAGTTGGAATGTGACAAACTAGCCAGTGAGAAATCGGAGATGCAGCGTCACTACGTCATGGTAAGGACTGGCCCTGGCAGCTGAGAGCACATGGGTGGCACGGGTGGGGACTCCAGCGGCGAGCGGGTGCCTGTGCCTGGGTTTTGCCTGGCAGGGAGCCTTTGCCCTGTGGAGTGGCAGGTCTCTAGGCAAGGCCGGCATTGACTTTTCTGAAAGTGGGGCTTTTTTATATTTTGTGTTGTCTGCATGCAGTGGATTGTTGAAATGCAGGGAAGTAGCAGAGAATTGTTGGACATAGAAAACTGATGGGCCTGGTGGCTGACTGCTTGATGGGTGGTGACGGGGTCCTTGGCCTTGCCACTGACTGGCTGCTTGACCTTACTCCCTGTGCAATGTGGGAAGTGACAGCTCTTATGTACCTGAGAAGGAGCTGCAAGGTGCTGGTGTGCAGGCGTCTGGGGACTCTGGAAGAGTCATGGTCAGTGAAAGAAAAAGCAGTGCTCTGATAAGTTGTGAAGCTGGGAAACCCCGCAAGCCTGGTGGGAGTTGGAAGCAGAAACCAGCTGCTGTGTGAGAGTTAAACCCTCTGCACCTTCTCATGACCGCAGCAGCCTTGTGGACCCCTGGTGCAAAGTGCTAGCACGTCTCACCAGTGCATGTGTCCCAGTACAAAGTGTGCAAATCTCAGGGTAGTGCCTGGTAAAGGCATGAGACCTGGTGCCACACGTGGGCAGCAGGCTTAGCTATAACTCTCTAAAGAGAAATCCACCAGGAAACAGCCATGTTCTTGTAGGCAGGGTGATGATTTGCCTGACAGGTAATGCCTCTGTCTTCCCATGTGTGGAAGAGCCCTTGTAGCGGAGGGGTGCCAGGCAAGGCTGTGGTCTGTTCCTTTCCTATCAAGGAGTTAACAGGAGGTTGTGATACTCTCCGTAAAGATGAGGTGGTGCCTGCTTGCCAGCTGCTGCACCTGCCCTAGGAGGAAGAGATAAGATGTAGAAATTAATACAGCAGCTCTTCAGAGGAGAGTTAGGACTTTAAAACCAGAAATGAGGGAGCTGGCTCCTCCATCCTCCTGTACTGCCTGTGTGTCCAGACTTCGAGGCTGTGGGGGGCAAGGCGTGCTTGGGGCTGGGGCCAAGGAGAAGAGGTCACAGCTTTCCTTGTATATTAATGGAGAAGCCTGCCCCATTCTCACTGATAAATGATTGCTTCCTGAGCCTTGCAGCCTGCATGGAGACTCATCTCCAGGTGTGGCTGAGATATATTTTTTTTTTCCCCTTAATGCTGACAGTCACCAGAATTGATTCAGGTTACTGTTGGCAGCAGAGAGGAAGGGCTATTGCTTGTTGTGCAGCACTCGAGGCTTTGCGGGCACAGCAGCTCCTGCCTTGTCTGCATGGCTGAGCTGGAGTCACACAGAGCTGCTGTTGCTCCCCACCACAGCAAGTCACGGGAAGTGAAGAGGAGGGTTTCTGTGAATGTGCAAAGCTGCTACAGCTGCTCTGATTTTTGAATAAGTCACAATTAGCAGCTTGGGGGTCGGGCTCCTGCTTCCTGCTTGGTCTTCAGAATGCAAAGAAGCCTCGAGAGCCAGCAGCAGTGTTAGAGCAGACTGAGATCATGGCGATACCAAGCTGGGCGCTTCTCAGACTTGTGGCGTCAGTATGAAAATGCCAGTGATCTTCTCCTTGAATTAAATAAGCGCAGATGTGGATTTTTCTTTCCCTTTGGAAGAATCAGGATTGCAGCCTGCAAGCTGGTGGAGGAGATTTCTAAACTCTCAAACATCAGCCTTAAAACAGCTTCTTCCAGGGGTCAGGAATTAGCTTCCCCTGCCAATAGATTGCTCTGTAGCTGCCTGTTGCTGCTGTGTGGGGGTTTTCTGGGTGGGTTTTTTTGTGTGGTGGTTTTTTTTTTTTCCCCCCAAACAGCTGAAGCTGTGTGCAGCTGGATGTGTTACTTGCTAGATGAAGCCCAGTTGTGATCTCTTCCATTTGCTGCTGAAGCAGCCATGTGGGCTTTAGGATATTGGCCAGGCAAAGCTTGTAGAGTCAGGCTGCCTCTCTTTTGGCCATGGATATGGAAGTCTGTGGAGCCCTGAGCCTTTTTGTAGGTTTGAAGGATCATCACTCACTCTCACCTTGATGCAGACTGCTGAAAGGTTTCTGTGAGGGGTGTTGCATGGGGCCCAGTCAGCAAGTTCCCAGGTCTCCCATCTGCAGCAGTGTGAGACTGGAGCAGGGTGGGCAGGGAGTGCCTGGGCTCAGTGCTTCTGCCTTAGACCTGGAGAGGGTCTCTTGTCTGTGTTTGCCTCCTGCTGTCTTTGTTTCCTAGGGCTGGGCTCTTCTCTCCTTCCATCCTTGCCCAGCCTTTGTAGAAGACGTTGCTAGGAAAGCAGTAGTAGTTCCTAGCACTGCTGTATGGTGCCTCTTTACCTGGTGGAGACTTGACTTACAATTTCTTTTGTTCTCTTCTCCCCTGCTCTACAGTATTACGAGATGTCCTACGGGCTGAATATTGAAATGCACAAACAGGTAGGGGGAAGGCATTTCCAAGTGCTCTAATTCCTGTGGAGGGTGGGTTGTCTGCTGTGCTTTGCCCCCTGTCACTTCAGTGGTATTTCATGAACTAGAAATGCCATGAGCCTGTAAAACATTAGAGCTGCCTTTGAAATGCAGGGACCCCCCCACCTCTCAGGATCGCAGAGCTGGACTGAGGGCTCCCACCCTGGGCTGTGGGCATGCTCTGGTTCTCCCCAGGGCCTAAATAGATATTTAAGCACTGGACAAGGCAGTGCAGGCAGGGTGTGGAGCTGGGGCTCAGAGTTGATTAGCAGATGTGAGCCTGGGGTGGAGGGCAGGAGATGACCCTGGGTCTCTCCGAACCCTCCTCCCAGGCCCCAGGAGAGTTCCTGGCCCTGCCATCTTGCCTGGTGTCTGAGAAGGCTTGTGATCACCCAACATGAAAAATACCTTTGGCTCCCACCAGGCTCGTGCTGCAGTCAGGCCAGAGAGCACTTCTCTTGGGCTGTGATTAAGTAATGTGATGGCAGACATTCTAAGAAAGCCTCCTTGTGATGGAGATGACTGCAGCCTAGATAAGTTTGCTCATTACCCTCACTGCTGGTTAAGTTGTTAATTATCCCCAGTGGCTAATTACCTGTGCTGTTAACAACATGAGCCTGCTCTGAGTCTGACTCTATCTGGCTTCAGCTTCCAGTCACAAAGTCATCTGTGTGTCGTGGCTCAGTTATAAGCATCTTAGCACAATTCTGCTCCCCGCAAAGGCACTTGGTGCCTCCGATCCCATCACCCTTGTTGGTAAGCCCATGAGACTGGCTTCCCTGGGAAAACCTGCATCATGGTAAAGGATCTGAGCCACGAATCCTCACTGCTGTCCCATGAACTGTCTCCCAGCCTAGTCCATTCCCCTGTGGTGCTGGTGGGGCCCCCTTGGCCAGTTTTGGTGCATGCCTAAACCCTTTGACTCTATTTCTTTTGACTCCATTGTAAAGTGATTTGCTGGTAGCTTTACTCCTTCCCAGGAGAAAAGCATTTAACACCTCCAAATTTGCCGTCTGCTTGTATGAGGCTAGTGAAGAAGCTGCCCAGTCCCTGTGGTCTCCCCGAATAGCCCCAGTCCTGCAGCTTGGCCGCAGGGAGGCTGGCAGTGGGTGAACGCTTGCCTTTGGGGAGGGGGAGTCTGAGGAGGCTGAGCAGCTGGTCTCCGAGGCAGAGCGGGGGTCTTGGTGGCGGCAGCACGTGTATCTGTCTGTGTCTGCATGGCAAATGTAATTCAACACATCCCCACCTGGGTCTATAATAAGTTTCCTTTCTGGTTGCTCCTGACTTTGTTAAATGAATATCGAAGACCTGGAGAGGGAAGAGAATATTGAAAATCTGCTCTTTGCAGTCAGCAGCATTGATTCATTTAACTATGTAGGGAGGGGCCTTGGGGGTGAGGTGATCCCCCCCCATGGCACCAGGACACTGCCAGCATCTTTCTGAGGGGAGTGTGTTTTCTTAGGGCTGTTGGGGTACTCAGGCCCTGCCTGGGGAGGGGGAAGGTGGGGCAGCTGGTGCTGAGGGTGGTCTGTCCTGAGCCACCTGATGCCTTTCCTCTCCATTCTTCCCACCTTCTAGGCTGAAATCGTCAAGAGGCTAAATGGGATTTGTGCACAGGTTCTGCCCTACCTTTCGCAAGAGGTGAGTCCCCTGGCTCAGCCTCTGCTCTGGCTCAGGGATGCTTTGGCATGGGGGAGTGGAGGCCCCCATCCCACTGCGGGGCAGCAAGGTGCCACAGCCCTTCCTCATGGGCAGCTCCTTGCCTCTGGTCTGGGAAACCTTGTCGCTTGCTCTCAGCCCCTGTGCAGGGAATGAGCCCTTCAAGACAGGTTTGGCCTGGAGGCCTTCAAGCAGCCCCCCCCCAGGCACTGTGCAGTGGCTAATGTGCCCATCCGTCCCCTTTGTTGGGGGCTGTGGACAAAGATGGGCTCTGTTCTCTCCTGCCCATGATTCCTGAGTCATCGACCACTTCTGTGGTAGTGGGAGCTTCGGGTGGCTAATTGGGGGAGGGGGCCGTTTGAAAAAAATAACCTCCATATCGTTCCTCCTTGAGATCTAGTTCCTCTGCCTCATTAATTAATGCAGCTGATGGGCTCCTCCTACTCCCCTGAGAAATTAATTGGGAGGGCTTGGGAGTTGCTGCCTGAGGCAGGAGGAAGATGAAGCACCTCTAGTGCCGTATCTGTCCGTCTCCCCACACAACCCTGCAGAGGCTAAACTCTACAGCTGTTCCCATGGCTGTTTTTTTTGGTCAGGACTAGCTGTGGGATGGAGGCTGTGTTTCTTGGTCTGGGTTAGCTGTGGGGTTGGGGGATAGGCTGTGTTTCTCCCAGCCACCTGTTCTCGGGGAAGACAAAGTGGCTTGCTGATCAGATCAGAGCTGCGTAATAACTAAGCCACGACTAAACCTTTTTCATCTTAATGCAACCTCTTCCCCCTCCCCAACCCTGTCCTGCTGCCAAGACGGAAAGAAAAATCCAGTTGCTGGAGTGCAATGGGCAGGCCTGGTGTTCGAAGACCTTGTGCTCTCAGAGGAGCAAGTACAGTTGTCCTTTATTTTTTTAAAGTATGTGATACAGCTGTTTTTCCTGACTGTGTTTGGAGCAGCTGTGCTAGGCTCTTCCACTGCAGCATCTTCCAGCTGCTGCAGTTGGGACCCAGGATGTGTCCCAAGGAGTGGGGAGCTTCCCAAAAGCTTCTGATTTTAGGGCTTGTTTTGTTTGTTACAGGGTCGTGTTTTGTGTCAGGTCTGGGTAGGAGAGGGGAGGCAGGGTGAGAGGCATTGCTCACCTTAGAGCCCTTCTGGCCCAGGATTGCTGGGCCTGTCCAGTGTGGGACAAGGACGGGAGTAAGAGGGGGACCTGCTTAACCCTGTGGCGAGGAACTGGAATGAGACAAGCATGCGTCCTTCCCTGCTCCTCGCTACTGTGGGCCTCAGTGGTTAAGCTCCTTGTCACAAATGAAGTGCGTGCAGGTGTCTCTAGCTGTGGGGTTAACCAGCCTGCCTCTGTGCCCTGACATCTCAGTGTTAGCAGCTGAGATAATCTGCATGTGTGTGTGTCGGACCCAGCGGGGCTGGGTCCCTGTTCTCCTTCCCTGTGATATTAGAAATGACCCTGCATTCCTCTTTTCACACCAGCATCAGCAGCAAGTCCTGGGAGCCATTGAACGAGCCAAGCAGGTTACGGCACCAGAACTGAACTCCATCATCCGTGTACGTGATGCATATTTCATTTGGGTTCAGAGGGACAGGAATCTGTGCCTTTGGCCTTTGAGACAGAGCTGGGTAGGGGAGTCATGACCTGGGGATGTGTCCTGCATGCTGGGAGCAGGCTGCTCCACATGCAGTGGATGCTGGGATGAGGCTGTGAGTGCTGGGCCGGACCTGCTGGCATGGGGCTGGTTTTGTCCAGACTTGTTATGATGCAGGCATGGGTTTGCAGGCGGAGCACAGATTCCTGCTCTGTCCCAGCAGGGTGCAAGGAGAGGAGCTTTGGTTTTGAGCAGGAACCACAGCAGCTCCTTGACATGAAAACACCGTCTGTTCTTGGTCAAGGTCGGGAGGGCTTTAACCACATCCTTGGAGCATGCCAGAGTCTGAGGCCAGATGTCCTGTGGGCTAGGGGCTGTATGTCCTGCTGGGGACACACTATTGAGTCTTCTCTTGAGGCTGTCACAGCCCAAGGACTCTAGAATCTGGTGGTTTGGGGTGTTTTTTTTCTTTCTCCCCCCCTGCCCCCCGTGAGGTGGCGGTGCTCTCCAGGACCCTGAGGTCCCTGGTTTAAGCTTGGCTGCTGGTAAAGTCTGTCTGGGCAGCCCAAGCCCTTGGGTTGGGTTCCAAGTGCACTCAAAATGACAATATCCCTCTCTTGTCTTCCTGTCTGTCCATCATTCTCTACAGCAGCAGCTTCAAGCTCACCAGCTGTCGCAGCTCCAAGCCCTCGCTCTGCCTCTGACTCCACTCCCTGTGGGCCTCCAGCCCCCGTCCCTCCCCGCTGTCAGTGCTGGCACCGGGCTCCTCTCACTCTCAGCCTTGGGATCCCAGGCTCACCTCTCCAAGGAGGACAAGAACGGGCATGACGGAGATGCCCACCAAGATGACGATGGGGAGAAATCAGATTAGAGTGAATAGGGGGCTGGGGGAAGG